AAGTGTCCACCTTCAACCTTGCCTTGAGAGATTAAATGTTTAATGTAAAATGTCTAATATGTAAATATAATGTATGTAAATAAATGTCTAAATTTCTAATAAAGGAAAAATGTTTAGGTGTTAACTGTAACCCTACTTTTGGCCCACCCTGTATATAGTTTTTGTTTGAAATTCAACGTGTTTTATTCTGATACAAAAATTATAATAATCTGTTGATATATCATTCGTATTAAGTTTTTTTTTTGCTTGTTAAATTTCGCACAAAGCTACCCAAGGGCTTGGTGATTGAGTAGAGGGAAATCAAATAATCAACATGACCTTTTCAGACAGAATAATAAGATTTGATCCTCACTCTTATAACACACCCAAAGCAGTAATGGTGCTCGAACCATGAAACTTCAGGTCCACAGTTAATCATCGAACCATTTATACAAGAAATCATGTTATTACTTATTCTTCAATACTTTTATTAAAATTATCATTTATTTTAAAATAACATATTATATATTAAATTTTACGAAGCCTGCTTTTAACTTAGATGTACATAGTTCTGGAAGAGAGACGAGACATTTTTATGTTTACGTACTAGATATATTTTGAAATACATTAATTCAAACAACAAATGTCATATTTTGTATACGTTTAGAATTGTTTTATCACTGTAATTAATGTTTTCAGTTGCTTTTTTTGTTGTTTGGATTAATTTGACGGATTACAATTAGCTCATATGTGAAAAGACTGCTAATCACGCGATTGTTATTTCTTGCGCTTTTTTTTTTCATTTTCTGAAAGTCTGATGACAACAAGCGTGAGAAACGTTCTTCTTCGGCTGTCATCGTTCTCGAAGTTACAAACTTTGATATTGATGTTATGTATTGTTCTTTGTGCGTGCATAATAGGTAAACATTAATAGAAATTCAAGTTTTGGTATTCAAAACTACACCTTTATTGCCGTCCTCTCTACGTGATTTCCACTCTTCCGTCAGAAGCTATTCTCAATTTAGAGACGAAACTGTTTGGTTGGCGATGAACTATTGATCTCATTGTTGTAATTGGCAATGACTCCACTATTGTAATTGGCAACGACTCCACGTGTAGAAGCAGTCATAATCCTGCTTTCTGTTTCAGAAGATAGGGATGGCGTGCTGAGTCAGGCCTGCTTTGAAAGTGTGTTTCCTAGTTTGTCACGTGTTAAAGGTAAAACTGATATCGTGTTATAACTTATCGCTGTAGTTGCTTGCATAATGACGATACACCTAAACAGGAAGAGATGTTATAAACAGAACAGCAATTGTATGTGGAAACGACAAATGTTACATTAACGTAAATTCATAATATTATTGCTTGTGGATTTATATGTAAAACGCCCTCCATCCTGGCTACCGGGATACAACGATAAAACACAATTTGGAGTTGAATATTTTATAATATTTTTCTGTCTTATATGTTATTGATATAGATGGCGTTCTACAAAGAAACCATCCTTTCTATAGCATTTTTGTTTGACGAGAGATGCGACAGCTTCTATTTGATAATAAATCTTGAACGTGATACCTACTTTTCCCGCTACCATTTAGTAGTTGTTCATCTCTTCTGTGATGACGTCTCTATCTCAGCAGTTTGTATACACTATGTGGTATACTGGTGTTTCTTCTCGAGTTTAGTCCGTCCTGCCTCAACGATAACAAAGACTTATCTGTTTGGTAAGTTCTCTCCACATGGACTGTTGGGCCACTTTCATGTTTTTTTTTTGTCTGAAAGGTCATACTAAGCAAGCGGAAATTGACTTTGGACACTAGTGTATATCACTAGTTTCCAGATAATTCGAAAAAAAAAGTATTTAAGTTTCCCTCGACAACAAGCGGTATGATAGAGTCAAACAATGCATCTGGTTCTTACATTTCATATTCGACAACTAATTGACGTAAGAGATAAAACAGTAACTACCTGAAACATACACGTACTGTTTAGAGCATGACTCACCAATATGAATGTTGGTTATTCTGTGATGATATGATAAAACGTAAAATTGATGTTTATGCAATTTTCCAATTGAACTGTATAGTATTGAGAATATACATAAAAATTTACTACAGTTAACATATTTTGGAAGATCAACATTACGTACAATATTAACTAAATTTCTTAAACATGTCAAAATGTTCACCCCCAACAGTTGCTCTTACAGTGAGAGCTTCTCGATAATCCACCCAGTGGCACAGCGATATGTCTGCGGACTTACGTTGCTAGAAACCGGGTTTCGATACCCGTGGTGGACAGAGCACAGATAGCCCATTGTGTATCTTTGTGCCTAATTACAAACAAAGTTTCTCGATAATTTGTAAAATCGTCATTATTTCCCAAACGATTACTAGGAATATTCAAATCTAAAATGTAAAAAAAACTCAATGAGATACATAATAAAACATAAAAACTCAATGAGATACATAATAAAACATAAAAAACTCAATGAGATACATAATAAAACATAAAAAAATCAATGAGATACATAATAAAACATAAAAAACTCAATGAGATACATAATAAAAGTTCTGAAAAGAACAAGAAAAGTATTCTCGCTGCAAATGGAGGAAACGGAGACGTTTGACACATGGATTTTCACCTGCTCGGCCTTCAAACTAGATTACTCCTAGATTAGCTCCTTTTCCGTGTGTCGATTATTTCGAAACTGTGAAGGCAGGTGGCAGCCAAATGAATATTTGAGTCTTACAGCTCCAGGTGAAACTATAACTGATTCCTTCTTTGGAAATTTTGAGTGTAAAAAAAGAAAAAGTGGAGGGGGGACAGAATCAACAAGGAGGTGCAACAAAGTTTTTGGTATCACGAACAAATCTTACTTTCCTTTTCACGCCAGATGTCGCTTTTTGTAGAGTATTCTTTCTCAGGCTCTTCTTATCTTCAGGAATAATACAATATACGTTTGCTAAATTTCATTGTGTTATAAATCAAAACCTTTAATCGGTAAGAAACTAATATAATATATTGTAATTTAGCCACTAGCTTTTTTTGTCACCGAAGTAATGCGGATGACATACGGCTGTTTACATATATATATATATAGAGAGAGAGAGAAAAAACAAACAAAGATCTCTTTATGTAGTCCTTCTTCAAGAAATGTTCCAAAATATATACAAAATCTGATCAAGCAGATTTAAGAAAATTATATAGATAACATAGGAAAACAGATGAGGGGAAGTTACAAACACAACAAAAGAAGAATTCTAACAGATAAAGGCACAATATAACTTTTTTTTTTATTATAATCATTTCGTTAATATGTATAGTTTGTTCCTTTGTTTAAGGTATTCGTACAAAGCTAAGGTTTAAGGTATTCGTTAGAATTTTGAAGTGATAGACTAATGGAAAGGCAGCTGTTTAACAACACCCATCGCCAACTTTTGGACTACTCTTATCTGACCAAATAGGGAAACCCCCCCCCAAAAAAAAGAGGAAGGAAAATTTAGGGCTTATTTGCTCCAGATATATTTATTCATTCATTCAAATATTAAATAAATATTTGAAATAAATGTTCAAATGACACAAGTAAATAGAATAAGTGAAAAGCAAGCAAAAAAAAAAAGAGACGGAAACGGGCCCAGCTTTTCTGTTAGGTAGAGTTAGGCTGAAGCAAACAACCAGGTCTGAGACCTAAAGGTTCTTGCATGGTCATCCCTAATTTACTTAGAAATGTTCCACGTGTGCAGTTATCTCTAATAGAATAGCAAGATTGTCTTTAAAATGCGCCCATGGCTGCACGTACGAAGCATGTTAAGCTACGTATTGGGAGCTTAAACCTTGGACCTCGAGACCCATAATCTGGCACGTCAATCTATCGATCACGTTCGGACTTATGAAGACTGACGACTTCTCTAATCGTACACAGGTTTGTTTAATTTTTCTATTCTGTGCGTACCTCTGATTATTGGAATCTTACTAATTCTTATGATTTGGACCGGGCGTGACCTATTGGTTAGCTTTCCGAACTGAGGATCCATGGTTCACATCCTATTGCCACAAAAATGCACTTCTCACTTTGGGGCCCCCCAGTGGCACAGCGATATGTCTTCGTAGTTACAACGTTAGAAACCGGGTTTCGATACCCGTGGTGGGCAGAGCACAGGTAACCCTTGTGTAGCTTTGTGCATAATTAAAAACAAACAAACAAACAAACTCACTTTGGGTCTTGGATGCTCATAATAGTGGCTGTCAAAAAAAAAAGAGGAAGGAAAATTTAGGGCTTATTTGCTCCAGATATATTTATTTATTCATTCAAATATTAACTAGATAAATGATACCTTGTAATCCAAAGTAATGTTGAATAATTCGTTCAATCAGTTACGCGGGGTGGGGGTGGGGCGTAACTGATTGAACGAATTATTCAACATTACTTTGGATTACAAAGTATCATTTATCTAGTTATTTATTTATCATTACATGTTAACTATTATGGCTGTTTTGTTGTCACCTCTGACTTGTTTCATTGCAATACAACAAGTTAATGTAATTACTTTAATGTAACAAATACTTGTCAAATATTTTTGGTGCATAATTGAAACGTGTTTTGCCCATATTTAAAGAAACTACTGTTTTGTATTTAACATGAATACATCACATCTACCACTGAACAGGTTTTCCCCGTTAGTAATGCTGCTCACATAATTAAATATATGATGAAAGCCGAACCTTTAAAATTGATATTTCTATTTACCAAATCACTAGAGGGCGCTGTTCTGAAGATAACTTAGCTCAACGATAAAACTGTATAAAAAAGTTAAAACTATATAATTTTTACTATCTAGCTAGTAGCGTCAATTTAACGTAACATGTAAGTTGTACAAAGCTAATGATGCTTTAACATATAAATTGAAGGGCACAAGTTTCTCTTATTGCTACGAGAGGGCAGTGCTTTACAGACAGTTAGTTCCACGACAGCAACTGCTAGCCGTCGTCGTCCACTATCATCACGTTACACGGTTTGGCTTAGCGTCTGGATTTGAAGTACACGGGCCTGGTTACTAAAGTAGCAGTCACTGAGTCCGCGCAGGCCGATCTCGTACAGGGTAAACCAGTCAACCAACTAGTATTATTTCAATGATTAGTGTAAGGCACTGCTGGTAGCTTTAGTTTCAGTAACGAGGCAGACTTTACTGTATAGGCTCAAATTCGCGGAGCTGGCACGTGCACGTTGAGGTCAGCACCAAGTCACTCAGTCCTAAGTGACTGCAGAAGAAAGAAGTTTATAGAAAGTGCCCTCAGTCCTGGATGAAAAGTTGCGTGACTTCAATATGACTTCAGAGAGTCATTCATGGCTATTGTTAAGCCTTCTGATTTTAACAATCAGTCCTGGTAAGTTTTTAGCACGTCTACCTTTCTTATCCCTGAGTTTTTTGTCTATACTTCGTTATTTTCGATATTATATGGTAGTTAAGTTAATGGATTGTTTTCCATCATGAACGGATTAACTGTTGAATATACATATATATATTCATTTAATCAGTATATTGGACAACTCCTTACTCTATACTCTTCCGATAAACTTAGATAAGCGATGTTACGAGTGTCACACACTTTATTCTTTACCAATGAGTGTATACATTTGACGTCTTTTCATTATCCTACCATCTATTTTCAAAATATCAAAACATAGAATATATGTTTCATTACACACGTACAAAACATTAAAGATAATTTGGCTCAGAAAGCACAAAAAAAAAGTTCGCGGTTTATAATTACCTCAACTTCTGTTATTAAACTGTAGACATTCCACGCAAGTGAATTGGAAAAAAATATTCATGAGAACGATGGCTATAAAGTGTTTGTGTACTGGTTTATTTGACTGTTTTAAATGAAGACCTTTTCTGTATGACAACCATTGTTTTGACTTTCCTTGTTTGGGAAGAATAATAAATACATCCTGACTTCTTATGAAAATCATAGAAAGTTTATGAAGTATTGCTTTAAATATTGTAGCTTCTATTGTGGTATTTGTTCTTCATTATTCGAGAATAAGCTGGACACAGGGAAAATGAGAACTGTGCGGCAAATTGAGATTGACAAACACATAACTTGTTTCAGTTATTCTACAGGGTTTTTACGATCCTTTTAAAAAAACTACTCGTAATCAGAGTATTTAAAGACAAATACGGATAACGAAGTTAAGTGTTTGTCAAATTTATTCTACAGGGTTTTTACGACCCTTTTATAAACTACACGTAATGAGTATTTAAAGACAAATACGAATAACGAAGTTAAATGTTTGTCAAAGTTATTCTGCAGGATTTTTACGACCCTTTTATAAACTACACGTAATTGGAATATGTGAAGACAAATATGGATAACGAAGTTATGTGTTTGTCAAAGTTATTCTTCAGGGTTTTTACGACCCTTTTATAAACTACACGTAATTGGAATATGTGAAGACAAATACAGATAACGAAGTTATGTGTTTGTCAAAATTATTCTTCAGGGTTTTTACGACCCTTTTATAAACTACACGTAATTGGAATATGTAAAGACAAATACGGATAACGAAGTTATGTGTTTGTCGAAGTTATTCTGCAGGGATTTTACGACCCTTTTAAAACTACACGTAATTGTAATATTGAATTACATGAATTACAGGTTTCTTTGATTTAGAATATATAGTATACAAGGATGTTTTATCTTAACTTGGTTTTAAATAAATTGGTGATATATATACATCCAAGAGCATTTAATGACAAGGCTCTGTATAATAGGTAAAGTTCTCAAATATTATTTTATTCGTGTGTTTATGTGTGTGTATTTGGTACACTTAATTAGAATACCGTAAAGCCAAGATATCTGAACAATCTTAAAAAGGATATTTTAAATTTAAAATTGTGATACCACAAGTAAAGATTCATCACAGATACTAAGTTATCAGAAAAAGGATCTTCGTGAGAGCAAAATGTCATAAACAAAGTTCCACAAAGCTATCGTGATGAGAATATCATTGCTTCTAACAAATTGCACACCTATGTTTTTCGTGTGTTACTTACTTTAACGTACAACTGTTTAACCATGTTTGTAAGGAAAGGTTCCATTGCTTTTAGTGAGTGCCATCAATTCACACAACGAAATAACTTTTCCCTTGATTTTACTTCAAGCTATCGTGATGAGAATATCATTGCTTCTAACATAGTGCACATCTATGTTTTTCAGGTGTTTCTTACTTTAACGTACAACTGTTTTAACCATGTTTGTAAGGAAAGGTTCCATTGTTTTTAGTAGGTGTCATCAATTCACACAACAAAATAACTTCCCCCTTGCTTTTACTTCAATCCAAAAATTCATGACCTGGGCAAAGATTGTGATTATTACCTTATCTTTTTTTCTTATAGAACAAGACTTCTCAAACTTATTATTGGATAACTACGACACGAAATGAAAATAGTAGTTACTTTTGTTCATTACAAACCAATTTACTCCATCACAAAGTTTGAAAGAAGGTTTAAATGAACGCGCGAAAAGTCGTCCAAGAAAGCTGAGTCTTAGATAATACAAGTAACTTTGGTACAGTAAAAAGTATTAGACATCTATCATCTTGAATGATTAGCTCAGCCTAATTATCCATACTTACTGAACTGAAACAGTTTTGTGAATAAAAAGTTAATTTAGAAGGTAAAAAAAATAGATGCAATGATCTAGTGATTAAACGTATTTTCTTCTATAGATCAAAGTTTCCATTGAACGTTAACACAAACTCTTGTGCTTATTTCACTGACTGCACTTACTAATACGTTGGAAGACCTGTATTTGGAGAAACAAGAGAAAAGACAGAGAGTGTAATGAACCCACCCTTAACACTGTTAGTAGTTTGATATCACCGGTATTTTTGGAACATCCTAAGCGGGAGCGTGAGTCATTTCAGCGTGTGCTCATTAAAAATTCAATTTCATCATGTCGTAATATCATAGTGATTCCAACAAAAGATGGAAGATGTCACCACCGAATCTATAACGATATTGTGATGTAAAAAAAACGTTGTATAAGATTATTTTAGAACCTAATTCCAAGAAGAATCGTGCCAGCTTGAGATAACACGTGCTATTATCACCGTTCAGGATTATTCCTCATGTTAAATATTCGTAGTTCATTCACGTAGTTCATATATAATCGTATCGTAGGACTATTTATTTTTAAGTTTTTTCCTTTGATTGAAGAAATAAGTTGATTTTCACATCTGTGCTTTTACAATACGTAAAAAAACTTAAATATCTAAGAAGCACACTTACATTGCAGTATCTGTTGGTACGTTTCAGTAATATTTAGTTCCATCGATACCCTTTTGAACAGTCTGTAATATTAAGGTTTGTTTGAAGTTCATTGAACAGTCTCTAATATTAAGGTTTGTTTGGAGTTCATTGAATAGTCTGTAATATTAAGGTTTGTTTGGAGTTCATTGAACAGTGTCTAATATTAAGGTTTGTTTGGAGTTCATTGAACACTCTGTAATATTAAGGTTTGTTTGGAGTTCATTGAACAGTTTCTAATATTAAGGTTTGTTTGGAGTTCATTGAACAGTCTCTAATATTAAGGTTTGTTTGGAGTTCATGTAATTGTGTCCCTGTTTCGACTGATTGTGATAGACGTCTATGATTTGTAAATCTCTGTGCATCTCACATGGCCATGTTAATCACACCAATATAAGATATTTTAAATAATTTTTAACTTAAAGTTGTTTGCAATCTTAAGAACCTGCACTTTTCTCTTGTAAGACTTTAACTACGAGTAGATCAAATACAGCGATACTCTTTATGAAACGTTCAGCTTACCTGTGTCTAGGAATATGGCTTGTCGTTTCTTAACGCACACTAAATTCCAATATGTACCATTAGACCACATACAAAGTAAGTGGCTAACTTACTAAGACTTTATACATACTAGATGATAGAAGATCCTGTCACTGTGAGAGCTTAATAACCACAGTTTCGTCGAGAAAACAAATTGGACGAGAGCTACCATTAGCACTATAAATAGCTCAATAAAATTGATGGTTCTATGTAGTTGCACGAGAGATTAATTATCATCTGGTCAGCTGACCATTCGAGTCTTGTTTATCGACTATTTCTGAACATAAGTGAAATATCATTCCCCACTAGAATTAGAATATTACTCTGTGCATTTGTGGTGTAAAAATTAACGCAAACCATAAATTATGAACCTTTCAGATGGGGAAAACAAAACATGTCACAGGTGCCAGTTTCACAAAACTCTGATTTTGTTCTCACATTCACACATACATAAAAAACAAAGTTAGCGTGCCTCCATTGTTCTTCACGCTAATTTTAAGTCTATTGTTCTTTCTGCGACTCTGAAAAATAAAAAGTTGGAAAAGACAAAATATTTGCGTCTTCAAGACTGTTATAAAACAATATTCTAACATCATGTGTCCAAGTATACCTACCTCATAGTTGCATCCTCTATTATAGAAACGCATCTTTCAAGGTATATTATTTACTTGCAGATCACATAAAAAGATGTAAGTCGTGTAACTACAAGGGTAAACCATCCTGGTAAATAAACATTTGGCGCGGAATGGCCAGGTGGTTAAGGCGCTCGACTCGCAATCTGAGGGTCGCGGGTTCGAATCCCCTTCACACCAAACATACTCGCCCTTTCAGCCGTGGGGGCGTTATAATGTGACGGTCTATCCCACTATTCGTTGGTAAAAAAGTAGCCCAAGAGTTGGCGGTGGGTGGTGATGACTAGCTGCCTTACACTGCTAAATTAGGGACAGCTAGCGCAGATAGCCTTCGTGTAGCTTTGCACGAAATTAAAAAAAAAACAAATAAACATTTAAGAAATATTATCGTTAGATATTTTAACAACCCATTCAGGGGTTTGTGGGTTTCACCTCCTTACTGTTGTAAAACTATTGACTCTTCTTTCGCTTAAGTCTGATATAACTTGATGAATTGAGCATTTCCAACACATTGTTATTATTAGTAGTATATAATTAATAAATAATCGGCATTAGAAATAAAATAAATAAATAATACTGTGTTATTAATCTTTGCCTTACAAATCTGACTGGTAAATAATGTAAATAAAGTTAGAAATAATTAAAATTTACTTAATTGATTTAGTTTACACCATAACAGTCGTTGTTCATGACAGCTGGGTGATATAAGTAGCGCCATCTACTTCCTGACGTATCCCAGCCAATCTGATGATCTGTGAAAGGTAACGTTGGCAATGGGTGTGGCAGATGTAGCGTGATTGGCATGTTATACTTTACCTTCACTCATAAGATCTTAGAATTATTTAGCCACCTTTAGAGTTCTACCTTTTACAGTTTTATGCAATTGTTATATCTATGATAT